TCAAATTTGAGTCACTTCAAATGTAATTAACCTTCTGAACACATCTTAATGAATTTTTTGAGTACAAAAAAAATTAATGGCAATATTTTTTCAATGTTTGAATTTGCATTATATTTCATATATTCTAAGTTTGATGTTTGTTCTTAATTTTTGTACTGTAATTAACAGAAAAAAAGTTTCTGAAATTTTTGTAATGCTTAATTTTTAAGTTTTCATGTTATGCCGTGTCTATCAGTAATTTAGAAAGAATTTAGAAAATTATTTTAAATTGAAAATTATTTAAATTATAAAATGATATTTGAACTGAATAACGACTATTTAAATAATTTTTTTCAAATCATGAAAAATAGACATATATTTTGTAATTGCAATTTATTTGCAAATACTTGAATATTTAATAAACAAAAAATTACTCATTTCAAATATCATTTTATAATTTAAATAATTTTTAAAATTCAAAAGTACTTGCAACTAATTCTAAAATGTAAAAATTAAAAATGAAATTTACTGAACTTACAGCGAATAAATCAACTTGCTAAATGAAAAAAATTTGAACAGAGTTCAAAGTTTGCAAAAGCAAACATCCAAACAATTAGATTCTTAAGTTGTGTTACATTTTTAAATAAACATAAATAATTGCATTTTTATAAATTTGAAATTGAAATAAATATTTATCGAAAATACCTAAAAAGTAATAATTAAATATTAGCACTGACAATTTTATCGCTGTGAGTTCAGTGATAACAAGCATTTGATCTGAAATCAAAAGCAAATGATTAATCTTATCATTAACTGTAATTATTACCATCACTTATTATTATCATTATTATTATCATCGCTTCACACATATATTACATTTATATTATTAACATTACTATTTTATTTGCTGATATAAATATAAAATTATACTTGAAAAAAGACAACAGTTTAAAAATCACACAAATAGAATAATATAAAAATTATTTTGAAGAAGAATTCAGACACGAAAAATGATTCAGTAAATAAGTGTTAAAATGAATTCTCTCATACCGAAATAGCTTTCCAAAATACTTATATTACAGTGGTTAATAATACTGACGTCATAGTAATAATTTTAATAATAATTATGCTGACCAGTTATGATGATTTTGTTGATCGACAAATTAACAAATCGCAATAATTTTATCTAATAATGATAGTGCAATC